ATGATGATGATGATGATGATGATGATGATGATGATGATGACGATGATTTTGATGATGATGATGATGATGATGATGATGATGATGATGATGATGATGATGATGATGATGATGATGATGATGATGATTGTGATGGTGGTGGTGGTGGTGATGATGATGATGCTGATGATGATGATGATGATGATGATGATGATGATGATGATGGTGATGAGGAGGAGGAGGAGGAAGAGGATGAGCAGGAGGAGGAAGAGGGAGAACAGGAGGTGGAGGAGGGCCGCGGCTTGCCCAGAACACCGCGGCAGCGCGCCAGCCTGACGGGGGCCAGCCTCGGCGGACATGTCATTGTCGAACATAAGTGCCACATTGTTTCCATATCATACTCTCTCATTCGTTTCGAGTGAATCTTCCGGTAACGCTTGTTGTTGACGTCACCATGACTATGACATCAGCCAACCCAGCCTGGTAGCGTCGGTTGCGCGAACAATGACCAGCAACACGAATACTACTACGAGTCGCAGGACTGCGCGACCTTCTCGGCCAGGACACGCAGCACCAACTCGACTCAACTCCACAACCGTCAGCAGCGCACCGCAGCGCATGACAACCACCACTACAGTCGGGGCCCTGAAGAAGGAACGCTTTTCGCTGGGGAGGGGCTCGGTGTTCCTTGATTGTTTTACAGTTTGCCTCGGGTTCCCCTCAGGTTTTTGCATGGGAAATCGAAGTTTAACTTATGGAGAAGAGGGGCCTCGCTCCTTATTTAGGGTTCCTTAGGTCGACGCCTCGACTGTACTTCAACCGCGAGCTCCAGCAGTGGCGACATCTTTGGGGACCACGGCGAGTGGATCGGGAGCTGCGCCATCACTACCGTGGAGGTCGACAGCGAGCCGCCCGCGGAGCACAGGAGCCACTCCGCGACCCTGTGCGCTGGCATCTGGAGCAGGACCTCGAGCGAGGGAGGAACACATGGACGAAATAGTGGGCCAAGGAACACCCCGACACCCATTGGAACCAACCAAACCACCCCAACCCAACCCAAAGGCTCAGATTTTCCCTCGATTTTTAGTGGGGGGGGGGTCCGGGAACATCGAAAAAGCACATATGGAGCCCATACCCCCCCCAACCCGAAACGGGTCTTCGGGTTGCGTTGGGGTGGTCTGGTAGGTAGTCACCCATTGGAACCAGACATACAGTGGGAAGGGCAACAGTGACAGTGGCAAGGGAAGCGCCAACAAAAACGACCACGACGCCGGCAACTGGAGCCATCAGGGCATCCAGAATAAGGGCACAGGCAAAGGGGTGGCGAAGGCCAAACCCAGCCACAACGAAACGCCCAAGAAATTATGCTAACGGAGTTCCCCACATAAAGATGCTACGGGGTTCCATTGCTTCTTGTCTGCGCTCTGGTGGGGCCTCCCTGGAGGGGTGGGAGGGGCACGAAACCTGATGAATAATATGGTGTGCGAATACCCTGCCCGCTCTGGTGGGGCCTCCCTGGAGGGGTGGGAGGGGCACGAAACCTGATAAATAATATGGTGTACGGATACCCTGCCCGCTCTGGTGGGGCCTCCCTGGAGGGGTGGGAGGGGCACGACACCTGATAAATAACATGGTGTGCGAATACCCTGCCCGCTCTGGTGGGGCCTCCCTGGAGGGGCGGGAACGGCACGAAACCTAATAATAAAATATGGCGTGCGAATACCCTGCCCGCTCTGGCGGGGCCTCCCTGGAGTGGCGGGAGGGGCACGAAACCTGATAAATAATATGGTGTGCGAATGCCCTGCCCGCTCTGGTGGGGCCTCCCTGGAGGGGTGGGAGGGGCATGAAACCTGATAAATCATATGGTGTGCGAATACCCTGCCCGCTCTGGCGGGGCCTCCCTGGAATGTTGGGAGGGGCGCGAAACCTGATAAATAACATGGTGTGCGGATACCCTGCCCGCTCTGGTGGGGCCTCCCTGGAGGGGTGGAGGGGCACGAAACCTGATAAATAACATGGTGTGCGAATACCCTGCTCGCTCAGGCGGGGCCTCCCTGGAGGGGTGGGAGGGGCACGAAACCAAATAAATAACATGGTGTGCGAATACCCTGCTCGCTCAGGCGGGGCCTCCCTGGAGGGGTGGGAGGGGCACGAAACCTGATAAATAACATGGTGTGCGAATACCCTCCTCGCTCAGGCGGGGCCTCCCTGGAGGGGTGGAGGGGCACGAAACCTGATAATTAACAGGTGATGCGAATACCCTCCTCGCTCAGGCGGGGCCTCCCTGAGGGGTGGGAGGGGCACGAAACTGATAAATAACATGGTGTGGCGGAATGCCCTGGCTCGCTCAGGCGGGGCTTTCCCTGGAGTTGTGGATGGAGGGGCAGACACCTGATAAACTATGGTGGCACGAAACCTGCTCGCTCAGGCTGGGCTCCCTGGAGGGGTGGGATGGGGCACGAAACCTGATAAATAACGGTGTGTGCGAATACCCTGCTCGCTCAGGCGGGGCCCCTGTGGAGGGGTGGGAGGGGCACGAAACCTGATAAATAACAGGGTGTGCGAATACCCTGCCCGCTCAGGCGGGGCCTCCCTGGATGGGTGGGAGGGGCACGAAACCTGATAACTAACATGGTGTGCGAATACCCTGCTCGCTCAGGCGGGGCCTCCCTGGAGGGGTGGGAGGGGC